GGTTCGATGGTCTAGTTGGTCATGGCATCTGCTTAACACGCAGAACGTCCCCAGTTCGATCCTGGGTCGAATCAATTTTTGCACTTTGTGTGTTCGTGCTACTGAAATCAGACACAGCTTTCCAACGTCCAACATTATGGGGTGTAATTTTTGTGGTACATCTTACATACGTCTTTTACAGAGAAAATAAGAGATTCATAGTCTTTAGTATCAAAACTTCTTATATTATAATAATATAAACAGGGCTATCTATATTTCCCTTTTAAATAATTAGCTATTAAATAATGTTTCTAAAATCTAAATTAAGCGCTTTTGGCGGTCAAGAATTGACCAAAAGCATCCTTGATGGTGGAAGAAAGTGGAATGTACTTGATACCGGTTTGTTCATTGGTGATATGGTTATCAAAAGCAGCCCGGCAGCTCATATCTATTTCGGGCTTTTCGGGGTTACCAATGGCAATTCCAGAAGCGAATTTCGGCAATCCTTGGTGTAGTAAGTTGACAATTTCTTGAGGGAAAGCGTGACCAGGAGTAATCCACCATCTTTGATTGGGGGCCTTGGGGTTAGTAATGGCATCGATGTGAGCCCAAGCAACATCACGAACATCCACCCAAGAGATTGGGCCACCGGGGATGACATCTCCATTGTCTTTGCCATCTTCCTTCAACTTCTTTGCAGTGAGGAAGATATTCAATAAAAATTCGTTGGAGGTATTTAATGAGTTAACATCTAATTGGTTTTCTAAGGGTCCCCAGACAAAAGGAGGATTGATTGTACTGACGGTAAAATTAAGTTGGTCCTCATTTTGTTCCACGAATTCCCAAGCAGCGGCTTCAGCCAGTTTCTTGGAGAGACAGTAGGCGCCCCGAGGGTCAGTGGCGTCTTCACGGGTCATAGGGTTCCAAGTCTTTTCAGTTATGGTAAAGCTGGAGTCCTGTTCTTTGGAAATGTCCATGATGGCGGCGTAGGATGAAGTGATAATAACTCTCTTGACTTGGGGAGCGAATTTGCGCACACTTTCTAAGATATTCCGTGTACCCTTAACGGCGGGGGCGTACAAATGCTCTTCGTAGTCGGTGGCATTGAAGTGAAAGGGGGAGGCGGTATGTAAAACGGCGGTGATTTCGGGGTGCTCTTGCAACACTTTATCGAAAGCGTCGTCGGAAACAATGTCTTCGACAATAGCAAACTTCAAGGGGGCCTCTTTACCGTATCTGTTTATGAAATAATCGGCTTTAGCTTGCGATCTGACGGTACCAACAACGTGGAAGCCTTGCTCAAGCAATTGCTTGACAATATGGGAAGCGATAAAGCCGGAAGCGCCGGTAAGTAAAACAGTGGTAGGAGCAATAGTCATTTTAGTGTTGTTTATGTAGAGTGAATTGAATTGTTTAAGATTGGAATGTATACCGATATAACGGCGAGAAATGATGGAGGGAATGGCCACATATATTTATACTTGTTCTCATCGGGTGTCAATTAACTTTTGACACATGTAGTTGGACCTCGGGAATCATGTGGTTACAAATCAAATCCTGTAACAATGTACTACATTATCGTATTCTGGATAAGAGATTAATAAACGGGCTATAAACTAGGGTAATTATGCATACAAAATAAAAATATTCACAGTTACAAAGCAGGATCTTGGACATGATGACGTTAAAGATCTCTTTTTTTTCGGTCTGCGGCTGTAAAACACGGATTAACTATTATCCCGTCATGCGATCTGACAGTATTGGGAGCAACTTTTAGAGGCCTAAATACTATTGAGCCGCATAGCCCTAGGTTTGAGGTATATTTCCAAAATGGGCTTAATAATATATTTATTTTTCTTCTTTTTTTCTTCTTTGACGCTTTGTATTTTCTGTAAATATACTGTGCTGGAATGTCAAAGATTCAGCCCATCGACCAATGACCCAAAACGGCTTGATGTTACATGTGACCTGCTTGGATTGCGTTGAAAATATTAATTGGCAAACGCTTCGTGGGGAAGAGGGCTATACCAAAGGAAGAGCTCCCTGGTTCGTTGAACGCTGTGCGCTCTATATAGGCTTGTTTATTCTTTATTATATAGATCTTGAACAATAAAATCAAATATCCTTTCCCTTTGGAAGCCTGACCTTACTGGGACGTGGCAAAACAATCACAAATATAAATGTATCTAAAGTGGCATAGTTATTTTTTTAAGCATATCTCAAATGACTATCTGCCGCCATGTCCATCCGATCTTCAGTCTGACCACCTCTTTTTTCTTCTTTTTTTGGGGTAGTGATATACTTTGCTAATACAAATTTAAAATAAGAAAATATAATATGCTTTAATCTTTCGCTATTCCCTCTGCTTCCTCAGGTCCCATACTTGACTGTCATCATCTCATTATGGTTGCATAATGAAAAGGACTCTATCTGCTTATCGGGTCATCGTACCGCCAAAAAACATTAATAAGCAAAAAAGTCTGAAAAATTGTTAGATTAGAGCTAATATCAAGATTACCCATATCTTCCACGAGATAAAATATTAAAGCAAGCAATCGAAAGAAGCTATAGTCAGAAAAAAAGTGCGGGAAGCATGAGTAACTGAATAAATTAAGTGCACTAGGCTCTAAATTTTTAAAAAAAAGAGTCGATTTTATGTGCGATCTAAATGACATATTCGATGCTTGTGCTTGTACGGGTTACTTTATGGCCAAAACACCACGACTGTTGAATATTCCATTGATCAATCAAACGATAAAATACCATAAATGGTGGTCTATCTCATTCGAAAAAAAGTAGCTTTTTTAAATAACAAGTGTAGATATGCCATTTCCCATCAGGCAGCCGTATAGTTTTTCGGTCGTAACTATATATATATATATATATATATATATTTGCATTGCTTCTCTTTGCTTCCGCTTTATACGAAAATATCTACTAGTATAACCAAATTTCGTTCTGTTGAAGGGAATATAGATTTCTTGCAAAAGCTTAAAATAATAGTACTATGGACGATTAACAGGAATCACTCTCTAGTTTTTGTGTTCCCATTTGATCCTCGCGTAGATAATTTATCGACTTCTGAAAAGTCAAAGCTAAATAATCCCCATCATAGACATTTCAGAAGGTATCTCCTTAGAACATTTCGGACCTTTGAGTAAGCCTTTAGCAAATCGAGCGTCTGTACTCACTCTAATGTGAAGTGCAACTGCCAGGACTATCCAACTAACAGCTATAAAAGCTGCAAATATTTTTTGGCCACCGAAACGCCGGCTCGTTATCACACTAATATAGTGATAATATGTGGCTATGTTGATATACTGTACTAATTTGTCTAGAGAAGACACATAAGCAGGACTCATTCCCCTAAAATTGAAAAATGGCTGATAGTTTCAATGTTGCAAATATATATACACGTATAATTTAGATTTCGTGGTTTAGCAATCAGAAAAGGCTTTATTACTCCGTATTCTATGTTGCTCAGAATTCGAGACGGTCGGTTTTCTAATAATCGCATTGTCAATTACACCACGAGCTAATGCAGGTTGTAATATTTCAAGACTTGATCCAGGTATTGAAATTTTTTTAATTCCTTAGAAGTATCTTCAAAACAACAATTTTACTTTTTAGATTACCTTCCATTTGAGGTATATGTTATTAAGGTATTATATGGATGATTGTTCTTATATGCGGGGCGCGCTGACCTCAAAAAATTCTTTTGTGGTACCTTCTAAAAAACCAATAGTCTCACACATAGGTACAGTTGTTACTCATACGGTATAATGATTCCGATACACCAAGTTTCCCCTTACAAAATTTCCTCTTTTATAGGTTATAACAGTGCATCTAATCAGTTCAATTCCTATTTTTTACAAAGTTGCAAAACAGAGCGCGGTTTATTATCATGCTCGTATAATTATATATCCATCACGAATTTAGTTATTTATCTACAGGGTGATTCATTTGCCCAAGGTGGCCATACCCTAATTTTTTTGTACCTAGCGTATTATTTAAATGTGCAATATAGTTTTTATATCTTATTGTTTCAAAAACCAGCAAAAATAATTTTAGACGGTAAACCAAAATTGCTGCTTTTGTTTAACGCATTCATAAAAAAGCAAAGCCCAACGGGGGGGTCGAACCCCCAACCTTGTGATGACTGTAATTCCCTATAATTGGGATGTTAAGAGTCACACGCTCTACCGATTGAGCTAGCTAGGCATTTTTTACACTTTAACTTAATATTTTATATTTTACCTTCTTGCCGATCTTTTGTAAATAATGGCTTGGATTCATTCTCATTTGGGCTCACACAATTCGTAGGCTGGAGATCAAATAACTGATTATTTCCTGTTGATAAATTAAATTCTCTATATATTAAATTAGTTAAGGTAGTCCTACAAATTTTTTCTCTAAAACTCTTAAAATCGGGTACGACAAACCGGCCATACCAGCGCAAAGCCAGATGCCCAGATCAGCCCCATAATCTCCTACTTTTGCAGCAACAACTCCCACATAATAAGCCTGGCACATACCCAAGGCGGCACCTGCTGCACCAATGGCAAATGCCAGAAAGGCAGCATACCCTCTTGGTAACTTCGAAGGGGTATCCCAGTTCTTCCAATCGTAAGCATCGTTCAGTCCTGGTAGGTTTTTACGGCGGAAGATAAAGTTTTCCTCTAATAGGATAACAAAATATATCATAGACCAGTAACCAATCATAGGCAAAAAGTTATTGAGAATCGTCGATAGCTTGTTTCTACCGGCTAGGGATAAAACCAAGAAAATTACTGTAGAAATAAATGTCCACACGTATCTAGGAATTATTAAAAAGTATCGACCCATAGTCTGCACCGAAAATGCGATTGAGTAGGTATTGAGAATGTTGTTAGATATCAAGGAAATATAAAGAATTGCAAGTAAAAATTTTCCACCGCCTTTCCAAGGAGAGAATGCGGCATCCAACAAGCCACCATTACCAAGAGTATTATATGCCTCCATCAGCTTAGGAACTGAAGCATACCCAGAAGCAATACATATTCCCAACGTACCAACAAGGGCGGTAGGAAGGAAAATTCCTAGCCAGGTAACCCCCAAAATTTGCCATGATGGGGTGGACTCAGGGAATGTGACATAATAATCTGATGCGATGGCAATCCATACCGAAACAATCCCAAAAGACGAGCAAAAGAAAGATAGCCAATTACCAACAATTGTTTGAGAGTTACCGGTAGATGGTGTGCTAACGTCAAAGTTTCTTGCCGAAACGATAAAGAGCAAAATGAACGTTATGTTGATAGGTAAAGCGCAGTATTTTTCAAACATGGCAACGTATTTTATACCGAAAATTGCGACTATAAGCGAGATAACTGCAATTATGACAATACCGGGTTCCAGTGGGACCCTACCATTAGATAAAGCCTTAATGACTTGGCCACCAAATACACAATTCACTACTGACCATCCTAACAAAGTGATGAAGTTTAGTACAGCTAGTCCTTTAGCGGGCCACCATCCAAAGCAAAATCTAGCCCCTACCATTTGTCTTAGTCCTGATCGTGGGCCAAACGTAGCACCGTAGGCTGCAACTCCGGATCCTAGAAATATGCCTGTCATTGACGAAGATATACTGTCCTTCAGCGATAATCCAAACAGTAAGGGTCCCAAAAAGAATCCACTCATTGACGTCAAACTTCCACACGCGGAAATCCAAACAAACATAATACTCAAAAGTTGTCTATATCCTCCCTCTCTTTCTTGTGGGTCTGTACGTTGGATACCTTTTGTTTCGAGGCCATATGAATCGAGCTTTGCACTGAATTTTTGGAATTTCTGGAGCCATGTCGGCAATGGCGGTGATGTGGATGACGGCGTTGATTTGAGAGAAGAGCTCTCATTCGTGATTTCAAGTTTAATTCCATTTCCATCCATAGTTGAAGGCCGGTTTTTTTCAATATCTTTTAAAGTCTCCGCGTAATTCATTTCCATGCTTGGAGCGAATGGTGATAATATTCTGAGCTTGAAAGAGATGTATTTAGATAGAAAAGATTAAATGGAGTATTCTGAGATACTTTTGGTGAGTTTTATATCTGACAACAGTGTGCCGAACAGAGTTATGAGTAACCACCTTAAGGTTATTATCGAAACATTAATTAATTTAGTATCAACTACAGTAAATTTTTGAACGCCTGATGTGAGCCGCGCCTGACTTTTTTCGTCTTTTGATTATATCTTTACATAATGCACGTCATTTATCCAATTATCAGCTAAATTAAATGTGATACTACAATTATTTGGGCTTTTCTGTATAAAACGCTGAAATGACTAGCAAAATGGAAGACTGAGCCCGGAGTCATCCTGATGATATATGCCGACTTCTTTTTACATATCCCTCACATATGTATATGCATGACGCCCATGACTCCCATGACTCCCAAACCTTGCACCAAACAGTGGAGCAGGACATATCAATGTTAATTTTCCTTTTCAGGTTTTTAAAAGTTACGATTGCTAGAAATAAAAAGTTACTATATTGTTGATAAACCCTTTGGGCCCTACCTTAGAAAGTCTGTGACCTAATTATTTATACAAAGGAAACTTTGTGTTCCCTGAACAGCAAGAAAAAGTGGAATGGGAAGTTGAAGATCGTATGCTAATCTGTACAGTGTGAATCTGCATGAAATCCTTGATCAACTGTTTTGCTTGTAAACCACCATTTTCTACTACCACTCCAAAAGAAACTTTTGAGCTTTTTTGTTCAGAAGTGGGCTAACAAGTGGTGCTTATTTTTTCACTCATAATTGAGTGAAATAGTTTCCTTATGCCGTATGTTTTAGTACATACTTATCCAGTAGTACATTTTGGCCTTGGCCAACACTACGGCCACAGACGCTGGGTGGAAAAGCCTTAATCTGTTAAACGATAGAGTCCAAGCGACTATAATTAGGCAAATTAAACAATAGGCGAGAAGCATTGATTAAGCTTAACCAGCCGTATTTACCATTTTTCATTTCCTGTTGCCGATCTTATAATGCATTAATATTTGTAAAGAAAGTTGGCTTTAATATGTATGGCAGGTATCCTGTCTGCCCAGCGTAAAAAAAGACTATAACCTTCACTGCCATAAAAACGGGTACGCATGAAGAATCGTTTCTGACTATGCAGAGTAACCAAAAAGATTACTTGAAACTTCAAAATGTCAAACCGATTGAAAACTGCATAATACAACTGACTTTCTTACCCTTTCTTTTTAACCAATATACTTGGCGCTTTGTGTCTATTTTTTTTTTTTGATTTCCCAAAGTTACAAGTGGCCAACTTTTTCACTTTACCATTGGGCTTTAGAACAAACCCGCAAAATAGATGTTTAGGACAAAATTACCAACAGCTAATAAACAACACAGATGAAAATAAATATGCTTGTCTACTAACGGGAAACCACATTTTAAAAAATAAGCCAATTTTATCCAAAGTCACTTTTTATTCTCGCTACTACCGTAGTAAGCAGAATGTGTGTTGTATGTAGCACAACAGGCTTTCCTGTTCGTACGTGCCCTGTATCAAACTTGATGTATATAGCCAATAAGTGAAAAACTAGCTATTCAAGTAAGTTTTCTCTAGATGTTTTAATCCATTTTTAACTTTCTTATCTATACGGTTTTTCTGTTTATATATCTTAATAGCAGTTTGTAAAATACTTCTAATCATTCCGATTGGCTTCAGACTAGTAACCTGATGAAATAGAATAAGCAGGGTAACCTATAAACCCTATCGTAGTTTAGCTCGGTTGAAATCAAGATCTCAATAGTGTAAGACAGTTAAAGCGGTTCATATCTACGGTGATTTCCCAAAACTTCTGAGGGTTAATATATAGTATGTCTCAGAATACTTTTAAGAGGGGATCTTGCGCGTCGTAAGTTTTTTTTTGGATTTGATATGCCATTGTGGAATTCTGTCTAATCTTCATTGCATGATCCGTTCTGGTTCTTGTCTTATTTATTTTTTAAACAGTCGCATAGCTTGGTCAAAAACCGGTCCAATCGCTTATATTACAGATAAAGGTGTTCAAATTTGTAGTTTATACTGTTCTGATGGCGAAAAGTGGGAACTTTCTAAGCCCTTCACCTTGACTCAGGTCCCCATCGTTCATGGTGGTGTTCCAATAGTTCATTTATCATTTTCTCCTGGTAACACCAGCTTGGCATGTATAGATAGTCGAGGCCAGTTATCGATATGGATGGTATCGGTTGCCAGTAGTGATGTTACCTGTGTTTATTCACCCCCTAGTGAAGCCTTGACAAGTACTAATGAGATGGAATTGAATTCTATAATTGGGTTTTCGTGGCTAGACCCTTCTAAAACTATCGTACTAGCAGATCGAACCACTATACAGCCTAACCCAGAGCACACTGAAGGTTTAAGGAATCGTTCAATCTCAACATATAGTATAACCACTGCTAATGTGCTTGGTCCGCGGCATCCCTTACCTAATAAGTATGCTGCTGTGGCCTTCACCAGGCGGGGTGTTCTAAAACTTTTTTCTCAGAACACATCTGGAAATAAGTTTTATGAGAACTCCAAGGCATTGTGCCCTGGAGAAAATGCGGTTTTTTTAATTGCCAGTTTTGGTGAATGGAGAGATGAATCCTTTTTACTGGCTGGTACTGTGATAGGTACTGGTGAGGTCCGCCTTTGGAGTGTTTCTATCGATTGGAATACAAACCCACCCGCCAATCAGCCCCATGAAAATATACCTACAAATCCAGGTAATTTGGTAGCTAAACGAGTTACTAGTGAGTCATTTGGTGCGCCGTCTCCAATATATGAGCTGACGCACATTCATTGTATGTCGTCAAGACAAAGTGATACATGTGATATGGAGATATGGATGATATGGTCAGGCTCAGATAATACAAGTATTATTAAACGATATGATCTACTTAAATCAGAGACAGATTTACATGAAAGTTTTTATTCGCTTAATTTGCAAAATGGTGCTGCAGATCAATCAATTTCAGTATCTAGGGATAATGAAAGATCTTTTTCTTTGAAAGAAGAGAGAATAATTGAGGATAAAACTGTGCTCAACATAACTTCACATTTATACGATACTTTTGTCAATGTTTGTTACTCTGATGGTACAATTGAAACAACCTACAGAGAACAGGAACCCACCGGTAATATTAAGGGTATCCTTACTTTACAGGAAGTAGGCTTTGCTC